GTATTTCGATAGAGAGAGAAAGACCAGATTTGCAGTATAAAATGATATCATTCTATTTCACAGGCTCTCATCAGCTGCAAACTACCTGAAATTACAATGGTTAAAAATAATAACATTTCATACTTCAATGTTTGAAAGGTGATGATAAGAAAGCGAAGTATCCAACAGTTGAAAAGAAGAAAGTGTTCATTCGCCTTCCATACAAAGGAGAAGCAGTATCACAAAAGATTGAAAAAAGGATGAAAGAAGCAATGAAGAGATGCTTCCATGCACCTAGCTGGTGACACTATACAGCACTACATGCTCTATAAGCCAATCGAAACAAGACAAGTACCCTGCTGATGTTACCTTTAACTGCATTTATAAATTTACGTGCACCTGCGGGAGAAAGTTCACTGGAAGGACGGAAAGAATGGCTTCCATCCGGTTTTCAGAGCATATTCCAATAAACTGATGCTTAAAAGGAAGCAGATATTTACGAAATGCAATTACCAGACATCTTGTGGATGCGGGTCATTTTCCAAATCCTTCAAAATATTAGGCATACAAAGGACAGCGAATCTACTACGATTTGCTGAAGTAATTAAAATCGAACGCCTCAGACCAAACTTATGCACACAGAAAGATAGTGTAGTCAATCTATCACTCCTTTGTGAGCTGAGCTCGCTAAGAAAGTTTTCGATTTGATGAATTTTGCCCTTCTTGAGTTACCATGTTAACGTACAAACTAACACTGTTTATTAGATTTTTCTGTTTTCTGTCTTCTCTCACTCCCCCCTTTTTTTCATAGTTTGATCGTATATAAACTGATGGTAACTTAAATGAAAAAATGTAATACTTATAATCCAGATGCCTTCATCTTATAATTTTTTCTCTAATACCTTTCAAACACTGAAGTATGAAATGTTATTATTTGTAACCACTGTAATTTCACCAGGTAGTTTGCAGCTGATGAGAACCTGTGAAATAGAATGATAATATCATTTTATACTGCGAATTTGATCTTTCTTTCACTATAACAAAGGTTTTCTGTATTTCCCAGTGAATGAAAAACAAAACGATATTGTTGTTTTTACTAACCTTTCGCTATTTAATGCTAATAGACATTTGTAAAAAATTATATTTGCAAAATCTCAGCGATATTGAAATGAGTAATTCCAACGTTAAGAAATGTTTTACATCTGTTTACAAACACACACATACACACTCTCTTTAAGTGTTTAACAAAGGTAGACCAATATTTCTAAGTCCGAGGTCAAATTCTGATCACAGCTCATACAATTTTGTTTATTATATTTGTTAATACTTGTTTTATGAATCATGATTGGACAAATTTTTAAAAACAAAAGATGTGCCTTTTATAAATAAAACCTCTGTTATGTTAATTTTGATTAATTTCCCTGAAGAAGTTCGGACCAGATTGGCGAACGAAACGTTGGAATTACTCATTTCAATATCGTTGAGATATTACAAATATAATTTTTTACAAATGTCTACTTCTCACTCGGCGCCCAAATATTTTAGAACTATCCTGTCAAATCTTGACGACAGTTCATTTGAATTAATGCTAATAGCTTTATCAAAGTATCATTAAACCGGAATTTATAAAATCTCAGCATATACCAAATGCCCAAATTTTTTCAAACTGTTAAAAGTGAACTTGGTTTCGATATATATGTAAATTGGTCTTTCTTTCTCTATCGAAATTTATCTAGGGAACCCAATGTATAAAATACGTATTTGTTTGCTTAAATGGTGTTCTGTAAACCTGATGTGTTCAAGTATATTATTATTATTGTATCCGTTAATTCCTACAGGAACATAGGGTTTCAGCCGTGCGTCTCCATTGCGTTCGGTTCTCTGCTACAGTCTTCACTTGGCTCCAAGTCTGCCCACACGTTTTCATCTCCTCTTCACATGACCTCCTCCAAATCACCCCGCCCTCGCACTGACGACCAACTCGCCGCCGCTTCCCTTTCGGGTTCCACTCTAGCAATGGCTTGTCTAGTGATGTCACTTGATGGCTTGTTTCCTCAGAGTATGGCCAATCCATCTCCATTTCTTCCTGCCTATTTGTTTCACAATCGGTTCCTGCTGTGTTGGTTCGCTCATTGCCAGAGATCCCTCTCTTTTGCTGATCTTTTCTGGCCGGCCATCTGATCTTGAGTAGTATTGAGCGAAGACAACTGTTAATGAAGGTCTGTAGTTTGTTTGAGATGCTCTTTATGACGCGCAGTGCAAGTCTCTGATCCGTATGTTAAGTAGCACTGACTGACTTCACATTGGAGTTGAAAATCCGGATCTTATTTTTGATTCTGAGTGTTGTTGACCTCCACACAGACTTGAGAGTAGTGAAAGCTTGTCTTGCTTTTCCGATCCTCGCTGCTTTGATATCCTCGTCAGTTCCGTTCGCCTGTAGTTCAAACGATGCTTCCTATGTCGGTAGGTAAAGGAGGTTGTTTCTTTCAGGTTCCTTCCATTTATGCCGATCGTTGTCTGTTGTTGTTGTTGGCCAGAAATCTCCATCGCCTCTGTTTTCTCCATGTTCACCTGAAGTCCTTCCTCTCTTCGATGCTTCTTCTGCCAACTTGTTGCTTTTCATCGCTTGCATATCTTCCAGTTTGTGGGAAATCAGACATATATCATCGGCGAAGTCCAGATCCTCCAAGTTTCTTGTGTGGGTCCATTTTATGCCTGTTTCCTCATTGCCCACTGTTTGTTGCATTATCCAATCTGCTGCAATCAGGAAAATCATTGGCGATAGTAGGCAGCCTTGTCTTACTCCTGTCCTCACTTCGAAGGATTCCGTGAGTTTCCCATTGTGGATTACGTGGTATGGAGGATGGTAACGGATGTTGGGATGATTTTAAGGAGAGAACTTACCATCTAATAACAACTGATTTAGAACCTTTCGCAGTGTACATGTGAACCGAAACAAAGAATGCTCAAAATGGGGTCACAACCAGCTTGGATGCATACTGTCTAAAACAAAACTTGAAGAACTATAAGGATTCATTTGTGACTAGCACTTATTTTTCTCATTGTTTCGGCTGTGATTGGAAAAAAATAGGAGGGCTCCAGGGTTGAAGCCTTGCAGTTTCAGTAGCAGTGGATGGTGTTGCTTTCGCCGGGTGACGTTGCTAACCTAATCACTTCTCTTCTCTAAATTAATTATTAACTCCATATTAGAAGCTAGAAAAAATTCGGCTACTGCATTGCATTCACTTACATGTTAACACGAAACAGGGTAGGACAGGATAGAATTATTAAAAGGTAATATTAGTTAGGTGGAGAGAGAGGTTAATCACTGAATTTTTGTTTATCGATTCAACACCGCATACATGCAACTGAAATGACGCAACGCCTATTCTGAAGATATAGAAAGCTGTAACAAACAGCAAAGGGGAAAGGGAGAGTAAATCATAAAGCCTTCCTTTACGTTTCCAGTGGTGGTGTAAAGAAGACAAGATTGAGGAGACTGAAACGTATGGTACATATCTAAATTCGGAATACCATATTCTAAACCGGCCATTTGCACATCTTTACCACATCCTTGACGAATTGGTTGAATATCGTCTCATTCGATAGCTTCTTGGATTCTGCGTCATATGGCAACATTCTTCTCATGGTTCTCTTCTTTGATTGCTCTTTTCGGTGTGCCAAACATGTTGTTACTTCGTTTCTGATATACTACTTATATCGGATTATAAGTAGCACTCACCACAGTGGAACATAGGGTTTCAAGCTAGAGGCTTGAAGTTTTTGTAACAGTGGTGATTTTTTTTATAGGATGGGGTTGCTAGCCTCATGCCACCAACCTTCCCTCTTTACCAGTCTTAAGACTGGTTTGAAAATGCGTCGGCCGGGGATCGAACCCTGGGCCACCTGCATGGTCGGCGAGCACTCTACGGCTGTGCCACCGACGCACAAACTAGCTGGTATGATTATGGGCAATAAATTCAGCATGAAAAGTCATCCAGTTGTTAATACCGCATCACTGTGTGATGTTGGAAATATTTAAGTCATGAAAAATTCCCATTCGAACATTCATAGACAGAAGACAAGTAGTTTGGAGAAGAGTCTCTTTTCGGCGAATTCATTTTCATAGGTGTACAATCGCATATGTATATGGTTTGTCATTCCATCTCAACAAACGCCTCCTTCAAAGTAATTAATCTACAAAGTGAAGAACAACCTTCCAAAGACAGTACGATTCCGTCTTCGTTGCATCGCAGAAGCCCTAGCCATTAAGCTAGAGGAACCAGAACTGTGCATACAAAAGAAAATTATTCAACCACTTCTACTCCCATGGTAACAACTGTGTTAATTTGACTTAACTTTTCTTTGTTTGTTTGTTTGATTTGACTTGACTTTTGTTTGTTTGTATGCTTATTTTTCTACTTAAAACCCTTGTTTAATTTCGTATATTTTGTTTCCATGTACACCCTGAGTACAACTCTTTCATTAAACTATTCATGTTATCACGTAACTCTTCTTTAACAATCGTTTGTGACAACTCATCACTTTTGTTACTACTCTCTTATATCAACATCCAATTCATCTGAACTTACTAATTGTATTTTCGTTTGACAAATTTAATGTACACACACATACAAAACAACCATATATATTTGCGATTGTACAGCTATGAAAATGAATTCGCCGCTGAAAAGAGACTCTTCGCTGAACTACTTGTCTTCTGTCTATTAATGTTGGAAATAAACTTTCCTAATGTGATTACATTCTACAACAGTGGCCAAGTTCTACGCATCTACATTACTGTTGGCTAGTAAAATAGATGAGTTGAGGTTTAAACGTGTGTCAGCAAGGAAGGATGAACGTTCTACCACTTAACCACCGACGAATTTAGACTGGTACTTTACTTAGTTAATTTAATTTAAGTGTAATCATTCTATGTCTGATTGCTTTAAGTTGCCCAGGAGGTACAATGAGACAACATATGAGTATATATGCTTTCTTTAATTTTTGTTTTTCTATAGAAAACATCAAGAGGATCCGAAGAATTTCAAGAACTTGACATTTTCGATAGATACACAGAATTCGGTGGACTGAAAACTCATGAGGGCGAAACGCCAAGAACAAAAGAAATTGACACAGAAGTAAGTTATACTGTAACACATTGTACTGAATGCCTTTCAAGTAGAAATGAGTGAGGCACTCAAAAAATTATCAAATACTAACACATTATTTATTAAGTGTATTAAGTGTGTTTCAAAACAGCAAATTATATTGTCTTGAAGAGATAGACTCCTATTACAACAGACTTATGAAATTCCCCGTAGAATAGTCTAGATGGCATTTCCCCTGCTAATTAAGAAAGACTTTGTTATACTGCGAAGGGCGCTTAAAGCCGTCAGTAGGGCGAGTGGGGTGTTGCTAAACCAACTCGTTAATACTATTGTAGATAGACACTTGGATTCCTGCAACAAATTAGCAAATATTATCCTGTCGGACTCTGAACATCCTCTTCATACACAACTCTCTCCTTGCAACTAGAAGTCACTATAGAAGACTGTATGCTCGGACGACTAAGTAAAACAAAACTTAAAACAGTTAGTCCCTTCTATGAATTTTGATAGCGTTATTAGAAGACGGAGATTATCTGAAAAATGTGATGTATTTGCGCTATACATTTCGAACAATCTGATCACACATTTACTTGTCAAGTCAATATATATGGAAAAGATAAATTAAACAAAGTGACAAAAAAACGAGGAATTAAGAATAATTAACACAAACGTTTGGTAATCCAATCAAATAAGGATTACCAAGGTAGGTTAAGAGTAATAACAAACTGTTTTTTAATACACAAGGGGGGCTTAAGTTTATGAATGGCTATAGCCTCAGTGTATTTCAGTAAACGTCCTTGACCGTTTTTATTGATGACCTTAAAGGCTGAGTTAACATCAACCTTATGGTTCATCTCGATTAAATGTTTAGCTATAGACGAAGTTGGTAGTCTAGCACCTGCATCTATGGGCTTGTCACAATTCATCTGTTTTTCTAACCACTTCGGGATATGCTCTCCCACCCTTACATGCAAACCGCGATTACTCCTCCCTATGTATGTGTGACGACGCACACATGAAAATTGGTAAATTGTGTGGGATGTGTTATAATCACTTGTGCACTTTTGAGGTTTGCAGTGAAGCATATTTTTAGCCTTTTCCACAATTACAAGCTGGGCTGCATAGTAAGGTAATCTATAAAGACGGTCAAGGACGTTTACTGAAATACACTGAGGCTATAGCCATTCATAAACTTAAGCCCCCCTTGTGTATTAAAAAACAGTTTGTTATTACTCTTAACCTACCTTGGTAATCCTTATTTGATTGGATTACCAAACGTTTGTGTTAATTATTCTTAATTCCTCGTTTTTTTGTCACTTTGTTTAATCTAACTTTTCCATATATATTGACTTGACAAGTAAATGTGTGATCAGATTGTTCGAAATGTATGGCGCAAATACATCACATTTTTCAGATAATCTCCGTCTTCTAATAACGCTATCAAAACAGAAGCTCTACAACACCTTATTTAGCAAAGGTTTTATATGGTGAGAAAAGTGTAAGACAGGAAATTAACAACTTACTGAGGAACTCTAAGTAAATGGCATTGTTTTTGTTCTCACTATTACATTGTCGTTACTTTCACTTGATTTAATTTCGTATTCGTATTCTTATCGAACATTATTATTAATTTTCAATAGTTGGTATGTAAGGATTAGATCTGTTTTTACGGGTTGATCACGGATTGATATCAGTTAGAGAACTATTGAAAACCAGGGAATACTGGAAGTCTGTTTCATCCTACCTTGGCAATCATCGGCAGTACGCATCCATCACCAAGGTTTGAACCCAGAACCTTCCGGTTACAAGGCACGCTCGTACACCATTCAGCCACTGGGAACCGATTTAATGGCCTATAAATTCTAATTTCTACCAATTCGTCACCAGTGACGTCCATCCAGTCAATTGTGAGGATGGATGTCCCGCCGATGACGTTGGTTGGCGGTCGCACTAAATCGCGCATTGGTAGAAGTTAGAATTCATGTGCCACTGAATCGGATCCCAGTGCCTGATTCATCTACAAGCTTGACTTGTATCCAGAAGGTTCTGTGTTCGAATCCCGGTGGATACGTACTTCCGATGAGTCTCAATCTAAACGGATGAAAGAGATGTCTAGTACTCCTTGCTGATTTCCAATGATTCTCTAACTGATATCTAACCTTTGTCAAACTTGAAAATATTGAAACACAAAGAAATTTCGTAAAAAACAAATAAATGAAAATTATATATGTAAGCCATATAGAACTAAATAACAAGAATAAACATGTCTGATCTAAACCCATAAGACAGTTTGAACACTGCTCACTAAGATTAATACTCAACTATGATTTTCAATTAGCACATATCCTATGTTACCAAAGTAGGTTTAAACTAACTACTGTCTCCTTTTGGATATATAGATCCAGCTTCTTTAATCTCATTGAGCAGATTTCAGTAAAACTAAGAGCTTTTCTACTGCCTTGCTTACTCAACGTCATCGCATGATCATATGGGATGATATCCTGAGTACTAGATAGCCAACGGGGGAAGTGTGGGAGAGCAATGTGAACCAACAGACATCTTTCTGTGCTCCTGGTGTATTTGCTTCCACAAACACATGTACATTGGTGTACACATTTTGATGTGGTGAAGATCAGTGTCTTATCTCCGCCCTTTTCTTACAATATCCCCTTTGTTGTGTTTATGAACAACATATCAGCTGCATAAATAACACTGTTTGTAGAGTATGCAGCTGACGAGTCCTACCAGAATTAATGAAATCATTAAATACTGATTTTTGGAATCAAATCATATTGATATTAACCGTAAAATTTATACTTTGCAGACTAAAACACCTGAAAGATTGTTCAATAAAAGGCCAGATAGTAAAGCAGTCTTACACTCTGGTCAGTCATTACGAAAGCAGTTAGCTTCTATCAAGGAACATGTAAAACCTCAACCATTTCCAGACAGACAACTGTATATTTATGTGATCGCGGATCCAACGGGTGAGTAACCTGACAGTAATTTATTTGGTGATTATTCTCATTTGTCATCATTTTAGAGGAGAATTAATTTTTTTTTAAACTGATTATTGAACAATTGAATATTCTCTTCGATAACTGCCTACCAGTTGGATTCTACATTTATATGACAGTAAGAATTAAGGAATATTCTTATTAACAACAGGGATATCCTGGACCGACGTGAAGAACCTAGAAGACCTGGATTTCGCGTGTGGATGACTTATGTTTGATGTCACACAAAATCGAAGACTTACAAGCGAAAACCGACAAACTGGTCGAAGAAGCAGCCAGAGAAGACAGGACTCCAGGTGAACATAGACAAGACGGAGGCTATGAAAATAACCAACCAACAACAACAACAACAGCAACATCCAGTGCCAATCACCATCAACGGGAGGGATTTGAAAGAGGTTACTTCATTCACTTATCTAGGGAGAGAGCATTGTCTCAACTACAGCAGGAACGGACGAGGATGTCAAATCGAGAATCGGGAAGGCGAGAAACACATTCATCAACCTGAAACCAATCTGGAAATCTTCGTCACTCAACTCAGCATCAACAACAAAATGATTCGGATTTTCAATACAAACGTCAAGTCAGTCAGTTCTTCAATATGGATCAGAAAGAATATTTCCAACAGCCTGTTGCAGACCTTTATCAACAACTGTCTTCGCTCTATACTGAAGATCAGATCGCCGGAAAGAACAAGAACCAACAAGAAACTATGGGAAGAAACAAAACAAGAACCAATCGCTCAACAAATATGCAGGAGAAAGTGGAGATGGATTGGACACTCACTGAGGAGGCCGCTGGGTGACATCGCGCGTCAGGCCAGTGCTCGAGTGGAACCCGAAAGGGAAGCAGCGAGTGGGACGTCCAAGTGTGACATGGAGGAGATTGTGTGAAGAGGAGTTGAAACAGTATGGACTAACATGGATGCAAGTGGAAAATACAGCAGAAGACAGAAGCAAGTGGAGACGTGTAGTTGAAGCCCTATGTTCCACTAGGAACCCAAGGGAACAATAATAATATAATAATATACTTATTAACAACATCAATGCTATTTGAAATTACATTGGATCAGTTGTACCGACAGACTGAGTACATTTCAAAGCATCAGTAAGAGAGAGATATATACATGTAATATGCACTAATATAACACTAAACTGACTGAAAATCAAACAGATTGAGGGAAGTAACAAAGAATATATGAATTTATAAGTTCGAAAGCTGGTTAGGGTGGCAGTAGTGGCTGGCTGGCCCTGCTTCTTTTGCACACAGAGCCCCAGTTGTTTTATGCGAATGGCAATGTCCACTGTAGAACGTTCGCCGGCTTTAACATTGGTATGTGTTACCAATAGTTTCATAATTCAACTGCCAGTATAATTGAATGGCTCCACATGAGCAGTTAAACTGATAGATACAGTTAGGGGGGGTTGCTAGGCTACTTACATCAACTTTAGGTTTCGAAATTATAACCGGTTGTATGGAAAATATAATCTTCAGCTTTCTGATATTAAGCGCTCTGTAAATCGTCGATTCTCTCAACTTGTCGGTTATTATTTCACTTGATACACCATCACCTTTGAATTGTATTCGTATATGGAGGCTTCTTGTAAACAGTTACAAAAGAATTCTTTCCCAGTTTCTTGGTTATTTGTTTGGTGATGAACTTTTCCGGGTAGCTGTTTTCAATTAACGCGTGGAATACAACTTTAATTTCATCTTCAATCACCTCTTCTGAACAAATATCTCTGACCCTACAGCTGAGAGTCTTCACCAAATTTATTTCTTACTGGAGAGGAACAAAACTATGAAAACGCGTATATGTTAACCGGTCCAAGTACATTTCTTAAGTAAATTCCTTTTTATGCTACAGTCTGGTCTTCTTGTCAGTAAGATGTCTGGAAAGGTAATCTAACTTTGGGATACTTCTTCACACGTGAATTTGATAGTTGAATGCACTTCATTCAGTTGAGATGTGATTTCATTCTTGTCGAAATCATTTTCAAAAAGAGTGAAATTATCATCTGTAAACCGGCACTGAAATGAGAATTTTCCAATAAGGTTGTTCAACGGATCATTTTCTAGTTTAATCAAAAAGAAATCTGCTGATGTAGGTAGGACTCAATGTAGAGCCTATTACTACTCTATCCACCTGTCTACAGATTCGTGATACACTTAAGTGATAATATGCATTTTCAGAGAAATAAAAACAATGCTAAAAAGCGAATCTGATGACCAACTACAGCATGCTGCTGTTATTCATTTCTTACATACAGAATAGGACATAGGATTTCACCGCTACATCTTCATTCAGCTCCATCCCAAGCCATAATTTTCGGTTAGCTTTGTGATTATCCACAAGCTTCTATTCCCTTTTCATATTATCTCCATGTCACTCTTAGGCGCCCAACTCCTCGCTTCTTATTCGGGTTCCACTAGAGCGCTTGATTTGTGATGGAGTTTCAAGGTCCCCTAAGTGTATATCCAGCCTGTCTCCTTTTTCTCTCAGGATATTTGTCAGGCAGTGTATAATACTATTAAAATACATAAGCCAGGTTACCACATACGACCAATAGTAGATTTCAGGAATACCCCTACTTATGAATTATCAATACACTTAGCTCTAATATTATGCCCCATTAGAAATCGTTCAAACTCTAGAGTGACTAATTCATATAAGATGAAAAAGAAACTAAATGATATTCAACTAGAGAATGATGAAACAATGGTTAGTTTTTATATAACTAGTCTTTATACTAATACACCAATCAATAAATCCTTAGAAGCAATTAAAAAAGAACTAACTGCAGATCCTGAACTCACTCATAGGACAAAACTGCCCACTGAGGAAATTATTTTAGGAATTCACTTATGCCTCACATCTAACATATTTGAATCAAGTTCCTAGAGCAATGGCCGATATAACTCGCTGCACAGGCGCAGTTGAATTGGTGAACACAATTAGAAGTGTCTAGTCTAGGTACTTCATATTCCAGCCAAGGAATCACCACCGGTCGTGTAGAGAATAAGACGTGTGGTTCGCCAGCATTAAAAGTTCTTTAAAGTGATTTTCTTAATTTCTTCGTAATTATTTCACTTTGTATACCGTTCTTGAATTGCAGTCGTATGTATAAGGACTTCTTGTTTACGGAGAGTGAGTAGTCCTTTTCCGCTTTCTTTGTCATATGTTTCTTTATAAATTTGTCCGGATAGCCATTTTCGATCAAAGTATCATATACGATGCTTAATTCATCTTCAGTTACTTTTTCTGAGCATATAGCTCTAACTCTGTGGCTGTGGGTCTCCACTGAATTTCTTTTGTAACTGATAGGAACGAAGCTGTGAAAACGTGCATATTGTCCTGTCCAAGTGCTTTTTCAATGAAAATTTATTTTTATGCTACCATTCAGTTTTCTTGTAAGGAGGACATCCAGGAAAGCAATTCTGTTTTGTGATAGTTTCTTCGCAAATGAATTTCAGAGCAGGAAGTACTTCATTGAATTCAGTTATTATCGTACTCCTATCCGAATCATTATCACAAATAATGAAGGTATCATCCATATACTGGCAATAAAGTGAGAACTTTCTGATAAGGTTGTTCAAAGGTCCATTTTCCAGTTTACTTAGAAGGGAAGTGATATCAATGAACGCGACAAACAGCATTTTCCTGCTTTGCGTTTGCAGATAGAAATTTGAGTATTGTTTTCTTTTTGCCCTAATATACCCTGCATTTATCTATCACTTGCGCATATATGAGCTTATGAGCTGATGTGTAAAACTTGGAGTCTGTGGTAGTACATAATTCCATATTAATCTGTTTATTAGATATATCACACAGTGGTATAGCATCACTACTTAATGGATGACACTGTTTCGAATATTAGTTTATAATCGTAACAACAAATATAACTATACAACTTTGAAGCTTTCGTTTTATAGTTTTCTTTATTCCTTCCTTATTATTATTATTATTGTATCCTTTAATTCCTAGAGGAACATACGGCTTCAGCCACGCGTCTCCATTGCGTTCTGTTCTCTGCTACAGTCTTCACCTGGCTCCATGTCTGCCAACACGTTTTCATCTCCTCTCCAATTCACCCTTGCACTGACGACCAACTCGCCGCTTCCCTTTCGACCGGGTCCCACTTGAGCAATGGCTTGTCTAGTGATGTCACTCACTTGATGGTTTCCTCAGAGTAGGGCCAGCCAATCCATCTCCATTTCTTCCTGCCTATTTGTTTCACAATCGGTTCCTGCTGTGTTGGTTCGCTCATTGCCAGAGATCTCTGTTGCTGATCTTTTGTGGCCGGCCATCTGATCTTGAGTATTGAGCGAAGACAACTGTTGATGAAGGTCTGTAGTTTGTTTGAGATGCTCTTTATGACGCGCAGTGCAAGTCTCTGATCCGTATAGTGAGTACCACTGACTGACTTCACATTGGAGTTGAAAATACGGATTTTATTTTTGATTCTGAGTGCTGTTGACCTCCACACAGACTTGAGAGTAGTTGAAGCTTGTCTTGCTTTCCCGATTCTTGCTTTGATATCCTCGTCAGTTCCGTTCGCCTGTAGTTGAAACGATGCTTCCTTCCTTGATGTAGTAGAATTTTCTAAATGTTCTAGTGGACAGGTGAATCGTCAATTCTGCTTAACGTATTTTCACTTGATTTGATAAATAAAGCTTCCGTTATCAACCTCTCCCTCCATTCTGTTATGTCATCTTATCCCATCCTACTGCATGGTTGTGTGAAATTGCATATGGTGCTATAGCTGAACTATTCGCCAGATTTCTTATCGTATTAGGGTCAAATAATCTAGATTTTGCTGCTAGGCTTTCAAGCTCCGCTAGTCGAACTGATTGACTCCATTCCACTAATTTGACCTATGTATCTGACCTGACAATCATTGTAGCATGGTATCCGATAAAATGAATTGTTTTGTTTAATTGGCTCCACAAGATCCTTTAACCGACAAAGC